TTCTGCGATTCCAGCTGAAGAAAACGCCAAATGCGGGGTTGCCGGCAAGCCTAGAAAGCGACCATGTCGCTGAAATTCTCGTCGACAAGCTGCCCTTGATGCTCACCTAGCTATCGTGCCAATCATGATTGAGTGAGATGATAACCTACCTAGGTAAAGTAATGAGAGGAACAATGAGTTGCCGTCATGATTTCAGCGATGCTGCATTCGTAACTGACATCATCCAACCTGTCAAGATCATGACCTCGTCTCTGTTCGTACATTGAGCCGACTTTCTATAAAGACGGAAGTACGGCTCAAGCATAGAACCCAAGATAACTTGGTGAAGGACACTGGCGAGGCGCCGCTTATTCGTTGACTCCGGCATCATCTTGATCCACACGGCCAGCTCGCCACTGTCTTCCTTCCTGATTTTGCTCAGAGACGGGTAAGCAAAACCTGATAATGGGAGGGAGTGTCATCAATGGTCCAGTCGCTCTAATGAGGTTGTTTGCAATGGCCATGGCTCGCTCGTTTCCGGCTTTTGCAATTCGAATCGATGGTGTTGATGAAGAGGCTCCCAGATACCGCTATCGGAGACACGCTGCTCTATGCTTGACATGTAAAGCATGGCAGATGACCACTTGGGTCTGGGCAGTTGGCAGGTTGCGCTGTCACTCATGCTTCGCCTTGGAAAAGATATCTACAGGGATTTGCCCCGTTGTTCTGGTGGTTGGTGGGCGGACGACGGAATGTTTGTTTTTATCGTCGGCAGCTATTAGCTGGCTTATCGTTTTCCTGCCCGTCCGTTTTCTCGTCTCAATTCTGGCGGTTCGGCAGGCGAAGAGCGTCGATAACGTTTGTTTCGGATGGCGAGTAGGGCAATTCGAACGTGGAGAGTCTAAGGATAAGAGCCATTGCCCAATGAGTATCAAGCATGTTTGGGATGCGTTGGGCGGCGGGCCAATCTAGACGATGATGGCTCAACAGCGGCTTCAGTCAGGCATTATGTCGCCGGCCTTGGCTGCGGCAATGTGACGTATGGCGGGATATGCTGTCCCTTTCTTTCTTCGCTGGTGTTCTCCCCGGGAGATTGGGGCCGCTCAATATCGATGTGGTGGGTCTGCCGCCAGTCCAGCTGAAGAGCTTTGCTGCTTCACGTGCATGTTCCGGCCAGGTCTGCTTCAGGTGAGGGTGGTGGGCAAAGTGAGTGAGTGAATGTGTGATGAGAGTGAGCTTCAGCATGAAGTGAGGAGTGAGCTATCCGTACAGCTCGATGAATGTGAACGGCACGGGCTTCAGGCGTGTCCCCCCACTTTGCAGCCATGTTTCCCAGGGCCACTGCGGCATGTTAAGCCCCCCAATCAGTGATGCGTTTGCTTTTCGACGCTGTAAGTCAAGCGTGCAACTCATATTGTGCGCCCACCAAAGCTGCAAATGACTGCGCGAGGTTCGGAATTTGAAGGGGGGGGGGGGTTCTGGAGAGGAGAGGAGGGTTTTCACGAGGCTACTAGACACAAAAGTTGTGCGGTGCAGTGTAAGATAAGGTAAGGCAGAGAGAAATACACAGATTTGGTAGCCAAAGTTGTGTACTCCGTACGCAGATGCATCTCAAAATTTTCGATGACTGGAGGCAGAAAGTGGACTTGTGTTTTTTTCCCTCCCCCGCCCTCTCTTCCTATCCCTCTCTATGGTTTTCCACCCCTCGTCCCCTTTCCCTAAACCTGCCCGTTTCCCTTCTCCTTGTTCATCAAACATATTCATTCTAAAGCGAATCATCTTAAGTTGACAACGAGTGAGCTTGTGCTGCCTCTGTCCGTCGTCCTTCCCTCGTCTCTTCATCGCCTGCCCGCTCCGCCGCCCACGCCGCTCCCTCGTCCGTGACGTGCCACCACCAACCACTGTTACCTACAGGCTACAAGGCCCTCCGGCATCATTGGATTCGCTTGACGAGTGGGAATTTTCCAAGCATTTGAAGGACAGCCCCTCACCTTTCGGACAAGCATCAACCGCAGCAGTGTGGACTTTTGACTGAATCGCCCAGGACCGTGGACGCTACAGAAAACCCCCGGGGCTTTCTGTCACTTTTCCAGCTTATTGTCTTAGGTCATCTTGGATGATTACGGCAGACAATTCTTTCACGAGGCCAGCCGCACGTGGGTGTAAAAGCCAGTCACTCGCCTTGCCTTGGAGACGGACGACCACTCGCTTCTCCACACCCCTCCTGCTCGTCCTCCTCTGCCTGACTCTCTGTCTAGTTGCGCTTGTCAACGGCACAGAACCAGAGTGGGATTTCGAGTGATTAAGGGAAGAACCAAGAGACGCATAGAGAAAGGGTAAAACGGATTGGACCCAAGGCAGCCCAGCAGCACCTAGCACTCTGCACTCTGCACTCTATCCGTACTGCAGCACTCCAGAATCCAGAGTCAAGAGACCAGCACCACCAAGCAGGGACATCCGGTTGCGGCATTGACACCGGCACTGGCACTGGGCATTGGCATTCTGGCATTGGCGCGCTGGCACTGAGGTAGCACTAGCACGGGACGGCGAGACGACTCACGTTCCCTTTCCTGGCCGTTCGGTGAGTTGAATTGGACCGGACTGGACCACCGCCAGAGCAGGTCCGCGTCTCTGCTTCCTGCTCCTGCCTCTGCTCCGTCTGTCTACCTTACTATTGCCGGATTTGCTGCTGTGTACCTTGCTTGCATTTTGCGTGCTCTCCGGATACCTTACCGCACCTCACCTGACTGGTACCACAACTGCTTTGCTGCTTGCTACACAGACCAGCTTCTTCAGCTTCAGCTTCACCTTCACCTACAATCTCTCTCTATCTCTCCCCGACCGCTTGTTGCTGGATCATTCCATCAATCCTTCCTGAAAGGCCTCCCTCCTTCGTTCGCCTTGCTCTACCTTATTCTGGTCGGACCACCAGCATTGCAGCACCAGCGCCAACGCCAGCACCACCAGCAACCAAAGCAGAAAAACAAAACGTTCCTTACCGCACACCCACCCGTCGAAATCTCCCACACTCTCATCCTTGTGGCAAACCTTGCCCGCCGAACCTGATCGATCTACCTAACTTACCTCACCACTGATTGACTCCCTGCCTCACCTTACCTGCCCGAGGTATCTTCTGGGCAGCAGTTCCATCTGTACCTCATTTACCTCCCACCTCAGCCGGAACAGCCACTGTCGTACAGCAGCACCATACCTTAACTACCAAACTATCGGCCAGCAACACACCTACCTACCGCCGGTACTGCCATTCGCTCTCTCTCCCACCACCACGTCCCAGAGCAGACGAGACCGCACCCCAATACCTCCCAGAACGAACCTCGCTCCTCGACCCCGCCGAATCCGAGCCTGCATCGTCGAATCCGCCTCCTGCCCGCATTTACTTAACCCTGACATTTGTCCGAGTCAACTGCCTATCTTTCTTCAACTATGCTACAGACGCATGGGGGACCTCACAACAATGGTACGTCCTTCGGCCACCCAACACAGAGCCCGCCTCCCGTCTCTCTCGCCTCCTACCCACGAGATGTCCTCCCTCTCTAACCCAGACCCTTTCATGGCTCGCAGGCACCGATTCACATCACGAAGAACCTCGCGGAAGGAGCAGAACCCCGACAACACAGCTGCAGCTCCCCAAGAACCGAAGCACCGGAAACCTCGCCGTTATACCCGACGACAACAATACTGGCCGCGGCCGAATGCGGTTCTCCTTCGATGCCGGATCTGTCGCAGAGGGCAGCGACCATGTGCCACCAAGGTTGGTTCTTTGCCCATGATTACACCGTGATATCCCTTGAACGGGAAAGCTATTGAGCCGATTGCGAGCTCATTGAAGAGTCGGGCGTTGAAGAATGCCAAAGCAAGCGTCTAGGCAACGAAACAGAGGGGCCTTTGATGTTTGGGATGCGCCTGGTCCGCGTGGGCGCATCACGTTACGGCATGGCTCATACCAATGGCCAATTCCAAGTAGGAGTCGAGGGCAAAAGCACCCGAGATATGGTATTCCGGCAAAGGAGGCAGCAATAATTTTAGTGTGGCTTTGCTTAGCGACAAGCTCGAAGGATGTCACTCGCGGGTGCGGCTGCACCACTTGAGATGTCACCAGGTGGCAACTGGGGCATCACATGGCAATCCATAGTCATTTGAGGCATCATCGTGCTGACAGATCTTTTTCCAGTCATAGATCATCCATTGTAACAGATCACGACCATGGCCTCGGTCTATCCGGATTGCGACGAATCCGACAACAACCGTCTTCGCGAGCTCCCTCCGCAGCCCCTTCCAGAAGCTCCTCCATCGGTCTATCGAGGTCAACATCTATGACAACACTACTCGCGAACCCCCCCGGCATGCCGTTTAGCTCCCATCCATCGTCGCCTAACTTCTCCGAAGACCTCTCCCGCTTCCCGTCCGAATCATTACATTCCTTCTCTTTCGCCCACCAATCCGAGGAGTATATACACAACCGGCAAAATGTCCTCAAGCGATCCATAGAATTCATGAAGGACCGGATGGGATGGTCTGTTTCACCCTCCAACGTTGCGCTTGCGAGCGCTCAGGCAAGAGCCTCCGGGGACGTCGAGACTCAGAATATGCTGGATTTGTTGGCTAGGGCACAACTTGTCGGAGCTGGCAACCTTCCATCCATGGATCAGTCCATCCTCGGTCCTTTGACGGGGCCCCCGCAAGTTTCGGGAGAGAATCTCTTTGAAGCGAACTTCATCCCTCGAACATCAAGCCCTGAACCCTTTCAGTCTCCCAGTCAGTCTCCCACTACGACCCAATTTGCAACATTTCCCCCGAACGACCGACCGTCAATAAAGCAGCAAGATGAAAATCAGAAAGTCGCCACGGGCGACAGTGAATCGGAAAACTCGAGCAGGACGCCGACGAACGAGAGTGGAACAACTGCAAAGACATCTCCGCCGCCATCCCGAAGACTTAGCCTGAAGCGAACGCTCACAGATACACTACCGGTCTCGGTCCATCAGCAGCTTATCGACACCATGGCACAACCCTACCTAGCAGCTCAAGAGATGCTAGCTTCCCCAACAACCGCGAACATGCCAAGTGCACTTGGCCCGGCTGTACATGGACACTCGACACGGTGGGTTCCAGCAGCGCAGGCCATTTTCACAACAGAGTCAAAACCGCCATGGACGATTATTGCGGCCAACGACCTTGCTTGCTTGGTTTTCGGAGTCACAAAGGCAGAAGTGCGGCGGATGGGTATTTTGGAGGTCGTGCAAGAGGAGCGGAGAGATTGGCTGGAGAAGAAATTGCTGCAAATGGACCCTGAAGACACTATCAAAGAGGCGGAAGATATTCCGAAAACAACGACGCCTGCACCAACGGCTTCTGCTGCTTCGACAACGTCAACCTCACTTCTGGGCGGACGAGGTGGGATTACGGCACAGCTCTTGAGCAAGCCAAACTCCAGATCACAGCCTCCGAAAGTGGTCACTCGCAAGGCACAAACCGTTCATAGTGGAGATCCCAGTCCGCCCAAACTCAGGGGAAGCTCACGGCACCAAAGCAGTCGGTCGAGAGGCGTCCTTTTGTGCGGTGACGTGGTTCCAATCCAGAAACGAAACGGTGCGACGGGCTCCGCAAGTTTGTGGGTAAAGGAGAAGCGGGTTGGTCTCATTTGGGTCCTTGAGGAAATCCACGAAGACGTAGCTCAGATTGAGCTCGACGACGACGGCATTGTCCAGAAAATTTCAGGAGCCACAGCACCAATTTGGGGCTTTGAGTCACTGAGACCTGGCGTGGATATCGGCAAGCTGATCCCACGCATTCCTCGGCAAGGCATCGACCCTCGCACTGGCGAAGTAGACTTTGCGCAGATTGCGAGGCGTAAGTTTTTCACATGCCCAAACCCAAGCAAAGTCAACATTCCCTGCAGCGTCGAGCAGGTACGGGGCAAGACAGAGCTACGCGTCTCGAGCTTCCCGCACATTGCAGGGATCATCGTCGTGGACCCAGAGGCTCTGAAGATTCAAAGCTCCAACTCAGTCTTCTGCGGCGCTCTGTTTGGCTACGAAAAGCCTGACGGCATGGCCATTGACTCTTTGGTGCCCGACTTTGAAAAGATTCTCCATATTCTGACGGAAGAGGATGGCGTTCAACTGCAGGATGGGATTGTGGTGCCAGAGCACAGCTTCCGCCGGGCGTCGGCGATTCTGGGTCTTCGGGAAAATCGCCCCGATGCGGCTGCGAGTTTCTTGCGGCCAGACGGGGTACCCGGAAAGCACAGGGATGGGTCAGAGCTCAAGGTTGACGTGCAGATGCGGGTGGTCAGAAGCGCAAAACAATCCACCGTAATCCAAGAGACTGTCATCGAGGACGAGGACGAAGACAAGGACGGGGACAATCAGGACGACTCTTTCTCTGTTACCCACTCAGAAATGGTCTTCGCCCTCTGGATAACTTACTCCAGGCACATGCACGCCGCCCGGTCAACGCTCGGTGTGACGTCGGCGTCCGCCTCTGGAACGACAACTCCCTTGCATCAGCCATCTCCTGGACAGACACCGGCGCACACGCCACTGGAGATTAGTTCGGATTCCGACGAGCCAAAGCCTCGAGAGTCTTCGTCGTCGACGGCATCTGCCATCACTAAACAACTCAAGGAAGTCGCGATGACGGCCGCCGCAAAGTTGACCGGCTCACAGCGTCCCACGGAAAAAAAGCAAGAAAAACCATCTGTGCCAAAGGTTATTGAGCCAGCGCAGCAGAAAAAGTCCATCGATGATTTCCAGATCCTCGAAGACATGGGCCAGGGTGCTTACGGTCAGGTCAAATTGGCCAAGGACAAGAAGACGCAGAAGAAGGTGGTTCTCAAGTACGTGACCAAGCGACGTATCCTTGTAGACACATGGACGAGAGATCGCAAGCTCGGCACAGTGCCTCTGGAGATTCACGTTCTTGACTATCTACGCCGGCCCGATCTGCAACATCCTAATATTGTCGAAATGGAATCCTTCTTCGAGGATGAGGTCAATTACTACATCGAGATGGTGCCCCATGGATTGCCGGGCATGGATCTATTCGATTATATTGAGCTCCGCAGCAATATGGAGGAGGCTGAGTGCCGCAGTATCTTCGTTCAGGTTGCCAAGGCCATTGGCCATCTGCATACCAAAGCATTGGTGGTCCATAGAGACATCAAGGACGAGAATGTAGTCTTGGACGGCGAGGGTAACATCAAGTTGATCGACTTTGGAAGTGCAGCGTATATCAAGAACGGCCCCTTTGACGTCTTTGTGGGCACTATTGGTAAGCCTTGTAGCTTCCCTTGTATCGAGATTGAGACTAACTAGCTAGATTACGCTGCTCCCGAGGTACTCGCTGGCAAGCCATACGGTGGCAAGGAGCAAGATGTTTGGGCGCTCGGAATTTTGCTCTACACGATCATCTATAAGGAGAACCCGTTCTACAGCATTGACGAGATCATGGACCGAGACCTTCGAGTCCCGTGGACGATGAGCGACGAGAGCATTGACCTGGTGCGGTGCATGCTCAACCGGGATGTGGCTGCGAGATATGACATTAACCAGGTTCTCGCGCACCCTTGGTGCCAGGAGGTTGACGAGGAGTGAAGGACGCAAACGAATTGATGATGGGGGGGGGGGGGGGGGAGATATGAAGGATGGGTGGAAAGGGGCCGGCCGTACGGACGGCCACGGAGCAAAATTTGGTCAAGATACCCTAAAGAGCAATCTTGAACAGCACGGCTTTTCGTTCTGAGGCGGAGCCGGATGTGCTTAGAGAGAGCCATTTGACGCAACAAGACGAATTTTCTTTTTAGCTTTTTTTGTTTTTGGTTGTTGATTTTCGATCCGGGTCCATGTGATGACTCTGACTGGGAAAGTCAAAACGACGACACCGACCCCACCCTCGGTCATGGGTCTGCATGGGGCTCCGGTTTGGTCTGGGGCAAATTTCAGCGCAAAGAACAAGAGCTTATAGAAAGACATTACCTTTGGCTTAGGGGCCAGCCTGGACTGGGGAAACGGAGAGAACGGCGTTATGAAAAGGAAATACAAAGTATGCTTTTTTGTTCATGATACTTTGAGGATGTCGACGTGTTGGTAGTGGTAGAGTGGATGTGTATCTATCAGTCGGGCTTATGATTATGATTTTGATTATGCTCCCTGTCTTGATCCCCTTTGATTGTAGGGGTTGGCAACCTGTATCCCATGATGCCGGTATGTGTGTACTTTGCCAGAACCAGGCAGATGTACCCTGTGTATGGTATCCGGAACGCAATTTTGTGAAGGCTAATCTCGTACTGTATCTGAATCTCTTCTTGTATGCCCAGACAAACAACCTCACGCGTTCTATATATCCTTTCGATTCTTGAGATGTGTTCCAGCAGTTCAAGCGGAAATGTGATGCTTGGCTTTGGGTGTGCCCTGATGGTGCAGCCATCTCATCGTTGCCCATCCTTTCATGCCAACGGGAGTTGGGCCATAGTAAGCCTCCGTGAACGAAATAGGTTTCTATATTCTACGGTGTTTATTCGGCATCGATACCTTCTATGGTGTATTCACCTTCGAATATAGCCTGCCCGATGAAGAGAAAGGAGGACCGGAGGTCGGAGTTGGGGTAGACCGTGGAGGGGATTTGGTTTCAGTCAATAGAGCCAATCTGAAATGATGACGAACAAAGTAACAAGAAACTGTTGAGATGAACAGCAGGAGCCTTACGCATTATCGTTGCGATTTGTTCGTTTGGTGGAGTTCTGTATGAATGAGCCTGAGCTACGAGTTTATATACAAATCCATCCGTGGGACGTTGGGAAGGGGGGGTGGGGAAGAGGTGATTGTTCCTTATCTACATCCTTCAACAATCGATAATCTACCTCATTCGAGTCCATTCAATCAGTCATAGAATAACTCGCCCTGAAGGCTCGTGTGTTTGGAGTATGGTTGTAATTATCTAGCGAGAGGCTTGTATGCCGTCCTGTGCCTTGGAGATCGGCACGAGAAAGAGATCGACGCGATGCGAAAGCGAGACCTGCAGGGGTTGGGAAAGCTTGGTTTCGACTCCGTTTTCCTTTTTTTTAAGATTCGTTTTCAAGGAATCTAGGGGATGTCAAGATAGTGCTTTTGATGATGGGCTGGCCAGATGAAGCTTTGGGTCTCGTGTTCTGAGAACCTGGTCGTGCTTGCGTCGTGTGAGAGCCACGGTGAACCGTGAAGCAAAATACATGTCGGTGAGATTTTTCGCTTCCGAGATTCGAGCTACTACTTCCGGCCTTAAACTCTGATATGGAACACGAAGTTTTCACTGTTTATCAAGCTTGACTTTGGGTTTAGCCAAGAGGCTGAATGAAGTTGCACAGAGAGCCGTTAAGGACCAAGCGAGAAGCTCGCCGAAGAGGCAGGATTTCCCCTAATCTTTTTATGACATTGAATGTATCTTGTGGTATTATATGCGTCCCAAGACGTTCAAATACTTCCGCTCTTCATCCTCGAAAATAAGACCTTTAACCACCATAGTAGCCACCACCAATGGGTCTTCCAATATATCCGCCTCCAACTCTACCACCGCCGCTACCTCCGCAAGCGCGCCTGCCGAACCCGCCAGGCTCCATGTCTCTAGTCTCAAACTTGGCCTCGTCGACTTCGAAAGGGAACCTGGCATTCTGTCGCTCGATCGGGTCCGTGCTGTCATACAGATCCGTCTTGAGAGGGTCGACGGCACTGCCGACGGGGATGGAGTCCTCTTCGCTGAAGAACATAAAGAAGGTATCTGCGGGCTTGGTGCCGTCACAGTTGGCGTCCGCCACGACAACGTTGTTTTGGTCGGCGCAGTAGGTTTTGGCGCCCTCGGCGACACGAGCGACGAGGATGGCGGCGGCCAGGGATTTTAGGCCCGGCAGGGCGACGTGTTGCCGCTTCATTGCGAAAGAAATGTAGTTGCTGTGTGTCTCTCTTTGAGATGGAATGAATGTGAGAGAGTTGGCCTTTTTTAAAGAGAGTCGTGAGCTGGAGAGAGGTCTTGCGGACTCAGCTGGGGAAGGAAGACATTGGGGTTATAGATGTGGATTCTGAGCGCTTCAGCCAGTAACTTATAATGCTGATCGTCTTTTGAAAAGATCCGAGCCGCTCGCAACTCGAGAGTTGAAGTTCATAATACAACAAGCTTTAGTAAAAGTGGCAACCAAGTTACCAAACTAGACCCAGGGCAGTAATACTCGCTTCATCATGGGAGCCTATACTTGGAATCATCAATTAGACACACTGGGGCAAATTGACTACGGAGCCTCCGAGTGCGGTTTCATCGGCCTTCACTAATAAATCTCGACTTCCGTCGGGCACTTCGGCAGCCGGTGGGTTGGTTCTTGAGGCTGACAAGTGACCTCGTGGTTAGCGTGGTAAGTTTTGACGATTTCCGACGTATTCGCGCGAACAAGCCAAGCGGTACGCTGTTCTCTAATGACGTTGGGCAGTGGAAACGTGAGCACAGTCTCTTTCACACATTGAGTTGAGCTTGAATAAGGTAAAATTCGGCGGGCAACCGATTAATTAAGCTTTTGCCTACGCCTCTGCTCCAACCACTTACACGACTCAAGCAGGGGGGGGTCTTCATTTCCGAGTATACGACGAACGACTCAAGGACGGATTGTATTTGAATTGATTTCTAGGGACCCCATCCAAGGCTAATTGTGGCAACTCAAGACCAACAACTCTAATTCAATAGTCAACTAATCGTCTTAATCATGGGATGAACACCAATAGTGCTAATCTCGCTCACGCACATATATACTTGTCAGCAAGCACAACTGCTCTTGTCTGACGGGTGCCCCCAACCCTGATTCCCACCCAGTCTTGAGAACCGTCTAAGTCCAAGACCTACCACAGAGCAGACCCAACTTCACAGTCAGTTCCCACCCACCTTCCACACAAGAACACATGAAAAGAAAAAGCAAAACCATCCCGAAAACCCCAATAACTAACCCACAAACCAACCAACACAGATGCGTCTCGCCTCAATCCTCTCCGCCACGGCAGCGGCCATGGCCGTCTCCGTCCAAGCAGGAGGACAATGCGCTGACAGGACGGCGAGCGGAGACGCCATCACGGGGTTCCGCTACTCGCCCGGCTGCAACACCTGGCAGTGGTACTCCCGCGACAAGGGCACGACCATCACGCTCAACCCGGACTGCCAGCTGCGGCAGGCGTGGCCGAACCCGACGGCCGTCGGGTACGTGTGCATCCGGAACAAGTCGGGCGGCAACAAGTGCTTCGCAGCGCCGACGGCCAACGACCAGAAATTTTGCGGGATCCCGGCGGACTGGTGTAACAATATCGAGAATATGTGGGGGTGGGCGTAGTGGTCCGGGAGAAAGAATAGAAGTTCCGTGGATTATGTTGCTTGGTGCCTGTTATTTTGTCACCTTCCGACCACCTCGTGATGCTTGTAATCTTTTCAGCATAGCGTCACATTGATATTCAACATCACTTGGTCACGAATGATCCGTAAATCCCAGTCTATATTTTCCTGTTTTTTCTCCTGCGAGACACATTCATAAACGATTTTTGTTAGCATGTGCGGCGGCCGTATGAACAGCCAGACCTCCAAAGCGCTTTCTTCACCTCCTCTCATATCAATCTAAAGCAAGTGAACCCCCTAACTCACAGCCGACTTTATTGCCAGCCATTGTCACCGTCCAAGAAAACTTACGCCGACGTAGCCCAACTTAGCTTAGACGTTGAGCTCAGCAGCACCAGTGTTCTTGATGTACTCGGCGTAGGGCTTGATCTGCTCCTGGACGGGACCGCCCTCGCCGCAGTAGCGCTGGACCATGGTTGCGGAACGGCCGGTGAACAGGTTGGGGTCCAGCAGCTGGTCGATGGAGTCCCAGACGGGCTTGAAATACTCGGTGGCCTTGATGCGCTCGATGAGGTCGTTCTTGCCGCCCTGCTTCTTGACGACGTCGGCGGCCTGGTGGGAGAGTACGCGGATCTCCTCGTGGGCTTCCTGGCGCGAGCCGCCCTTGGCGACGATCTTCATGATGATGTTCTCGGTTGCCTTTTGTCCTCGGGTTTAGTAGCCGATCTGCATGTGACTAATATACTTTCCAGGGAGTGTTTTGGGGCTTACCATGAAGGGGAGCTCTTCCATCACGTGGGCGCGAATGACCTCGGGGTAAATGACCTGTGAACTGTAAGTGGGTTTTTCTATGGTAGTTGGGATAGGCAAGCGTGTTGTTCTCTAGTGTGAGAGGGTACAGCACAAGGACTTACCAGGCCGGACGTGACGTTGTCGAGTCCGAGAAGGATGGCATCTGAGCATGTTAGAACAACTTCTTCAGCAGAGGCGTGTGGCTGTGGCGCATAGAGCCGCTCAAAACTCACCGGCCAAGAGGAACATCTACTGCTGATTAGCGTCGCGTCTCCATACTTCTAGACGGGGTGAACTTACCTCGGGAATATCTATTCTGCGAATAGCAGAGTCATCGAGTGTTCGCTCAACTGACACGGTGTTAGCACGCTGATAAATTTCTCTGGGACCCGGGGGCTTTGAGAGACTTACACCACTGGTCCGCATACGTGTCCGCGAAGTTGGCGGGCAAAGAGCGCAGCTAGGTGGTGTCAGCATCGATACTCTTCCACGCTGTGTAGTCGACTAACCTTGCGTCCGAGAGAGCAGATGCGCTCGCTGCGCATGGGGTTTCTAGCAATGGTGTCAGCTCATTGAAATCATTCTGGTCTTTGCTGAAGGCCGCCTGTGCGAGAATCCGGTGTGGACACGCATGTCATCTGGTGAGCCCCTGTGAAGGCGAAAAAGGGGAAAGAGAAAACGCGGGATGTTTCTACCTCTTGTACGCCCTATATCGAAGTCAGCATTTCATTCCTTGTGCAAGTTAGGAATTGCACATACATTGCTGAAGAACCGATTTGGTCCTTCTCTGGAGACTTCGTTAGCTCGACATTCAAATAAAAGCCGTATCCCCCTTTTTTGGACTCTTTACTCAAAAGTCCCTTGAGGATGCAGGGCGGGGATAGGAGAGCCTGTCAATTACTCACCAAAAGGCTCTTCCATCTCCTTGGAGTGGGCGAGGTGACGGATGTCATTGGTGATGTGCATGGCTGTCGCACCCAGGCCGCAAATAGCGTTGCTGACATCGAGATCCGTCTTGCGGGTATATGTCTGGGTTGAGATGTCGTAGGTCTTGGGGAAGCCAGCCTTCTCACAGAGAAGGTCGTTGAGCTTGTCGATCTTGGCACCGTCACCCTGGAAGATCTCCATGAAAGAAGCTTGGGTTCCGGTGGTGCCCATCGCACCGCGGAAGGCCAGGCGCTCGCGCGCGGTCTCGATGTTCTTCAAGTCCATGCACAAGTCCTGGATCCATTGCGCGGCACGGCGTCCCACGGTGATGAGTCTTCACAGATTTCAGCGTGTATCACTTGTGCAGGAATAGGGCGGAGACTCACTGTGCGGCCTGGTAGTGGGTAAATCCCAGAGTTGCGAGCCTGTAGGCTGTGTTAGTCACTATCTTAAGACGGAGGACCACGCAGACAGATTGTCTCAGGAGTTGTGCCGATGCAACTGCTCGATCGATTCCTGACTTACTCCTTGTGCTGAAGGGCAAACTGCGAAAGGTTGTGGATGACCTTGGCCAGCTTGGGCAAAAGAAGGTCCATAGCATTTCTGCTAGGTGTTAGTCTTCATCCTCTGAGATCATTTTACTTGCATTACCTCATCAGGATGAGCTCTGCATTGTCCTGTGGTACATCATGTTAGTTCTTATCCCGAAACGAAGCCTCAGAGGCTTTTCGACTTGTTTCAAGGGGCCTTGGAATCATGAAAGGCGGCTCCCCCAACACAAGAGAACGTGAAGCAACTCACAGTGACGAAGCAGCTCGTCGCCCCTGAATACAATATTAGTACGAGGGAGATAACTTCCATCGTGGAATTGACTGGATTCTTACCGAGGTGAATAATGCCAGCGGCGGCAGGCGCAACTTGGCCGAAAGCGTGAACGTCTGCGACCGAATATGTCAACATTTCATCATGATCCGTATAAGAGCCTGCGCCCAAACCACTTACGAGCCATCTGTGAAGAATCGGTCAACATCATAAAAAAAATTACCTAAGATTCGACGAATCTACTCACCACGTCATGACGACGTCTCTTCTCCTCAACAGCAGCCACCTTGAAGTCCTCATCGGTCAATGTCAGGTGAGCTCTCATTTGCTCCAAAGCCTCCTCAGAGATTCCGTCGATGCCAAGCTCCTTCTCGCCTATAGCACCATGGTCAGCAACGAGCTTCACCAGGACACTACGAGGGAGACTCCTTCACTCACTCTCGGCCAACCAAAGCCAGAGCTGTCTCCAGGTGGAGTGACGGTTGCGCTGGGAGAACAGCTTCTTGGCCTCCTCACTGGCATATCTGCCATCGAGGGGCGTCTTGTACGTGTCAAGTCCGGACATTTTGAGATTTGTGTGTGTGGTAATTTTGAGGATATTCACGCCTTACACAATGAAGGAAAAAACTTCACTATAAAATAGTCACCCTCAGAAAGTAAATGCACGAAAATTGTCCGGCGACTGGCACTGACATGACTTGGACCGATCGCGGGGTACTTTTTAATTGGGCAGGCGGTCGCAGATTTCGCAGTGCCCCGCTGCCCCACACCAGGCCACCGACCCCTGCATTCTGTCGCTGCCCCTCCATCGCAGTTTCTGAGCTCTCTTACCTCATCAGGTACGAAGAGCGGTACTTTGGCTTGGCCCAAGCTTCCGCCATCGCCTTGTTCCTCTCCAGCCACCTCCAACCACAACAAGAACTATATCCCAATCCATCGCCAACCTGATCTCTTCTTATCGCGGTGCAGCTTTGGGATTCTCGAAGCCTTGGGATGCAAGTCCCGCTGCTTCTGTTTGATTGAATTTTGCAGGTCTCAGGGGAGCATTGCCTCTTCTCTATAAGATGAAGACGCTCGATGAAGCCCAGTGAGTGCGAGTCGCACCATCCCAGCTGTGACATCATGTTCACCGACTGATCCAACTCATAGGGCACGATGGGCCGAGACATTAGAACATGCTGGGAATCTGTCAGACTTGCAGAATGCAGTCAGATATAACGGGCCTTCGAGCCCGTGCATTTCGGGACTCCGATCAATTTGTTGGAAGGTCGGTGTGAACTTGGAGATTGATCTCATCTCGACTTGGAGCTGACAGCTTCTTAGGCATTCCTGCTGATGCCAGACGTTCCATCATCTGACTGGGTGCCTCGGCTTGCCGAATCGCGAAATTTTTATTTAGAAAGACGAGATCACTTCTTGAAGTTCATCAAGCACCCCGAGGAGCTGGCCCAGGTAGCCATTGATCCGTTGACGGATGATCCAAAGGTGAGTAGCATGAAGCCAGTGTGTCAGTTGCAAATCTTTAGCTCACACTTAATTCAGTCACCGTGGAATACTGTTCGACAGGACGAGATAATTAGGGCTGAGATTGCACAAGACGTTCGCCGATTGCCAGATGAACCATTCTATCAAGAGGAGCAGACACAGACAATGATTATTGACGCATTGTTCGTGTATTGTAAGCTCCATCCCAATAGCGGTGGATATCGTCAGGGTATGCATGAACTTCTTGCGCCCATCCTCCTTGTTGTCAACAAGGACGCGCTTGATCCTGCGGCTATCTCGCCCATTGGCACCAATGTCGACACCAAGATGCTGGCCATGCTAGACTCTCTGTTTGTTGAGCATGACGCATTTGCCTTATTCTCTAAGATCATGGAAAGGGCAAGGGCATTCTATGAAGTCCAAGACTCAATCTCAAGGGCAGCGATGGCGTCTGCTTCCAAAGACCGGGTGGAAACATCAGCCATCGTCGAGAAGAGTAAGCACATCCATGAGGTTTGTTTAGCCAAGGTCGATCCTGAACTGGCCAACCATCTCAAAGACATTGAGATCTTGCCACAAATTTTCCTAATGTAAGTTGAACCGTATCAAGCCACGTTGACGTACGACTTACACTTTGCAGCCGTTGGATTCGTCTTCTCTTTGGACGGGAGTTTCCATTTGATGAAACGCTCGTGCTGTGGGATACCCTCTTCGCGGTCGATCCCTCTCTCAGTCTGATAGATCTGATTTGCGTCGCTATGCTTCTTCGCATCCGCTGGAGTTGTGAGTATTTCCAAGTATGCCCCAACGTCATTGAAGCTGATCAATGGCAGTGCTCGAGGCGGACTACTCTGTTTGTTTGCAACTGCTTCTCAAATATCCCGCGCCAGAAGCTCCCCACGGACCGCATACATTTGTGGATGATGCAATGTATCTAAAAACACACCTCAATGTCTCCGGTGGCGTTTCGCTCCTCTTGAAGTACACCGGGAAAATGCCGAGCACAACACAATCTGCCAGCAGTTCGCGGCCCACGACACCAATGGGCCAAGCTTTCTCATCTTTCAGAAATCGGACCAAGGGTGGCCAGTCACCAATTCCGTCTGCGAGTAGGTTTATCCAACAGCAAGGTGGTGTGGAAGCACTTTTCCAAGGCGCCGCCAAAAGCGTGTTGGAGCGAGGCGAGAAACTTGGCATCAACCAAGCGGTACGAGACGCCATGGGCGATATCAAGAGAAACATGCAAGGGCTGAACGAAGTACGCTACCCTCCTCGGATGGCAAGGCATCTACTTGGCGATGACTCGGCAGCACAGGCCATCGCTGCCATTGAGCAACGCAACAAACTGCTGGCCAACATGTTAGATGAGACAGTGACAAGTCTCAGGTCGTTGGCTACTACTAATCTAGAAGACAAGGTTAAGACGTTGGAGCTTGTCGAGGTTGCGGCTGCCAAGGTGCAGTTTGTAAAAGTTTACTTGGAAGACCCGACGATCGAAGTACCCAATCTTGAGGGCTTCACCAGCCCACCGCCGGAGGAGGCAAATACCGAGGCCCTGATGGAAATAGACGCAAAAGACAGTGCTGTGTTGGGGGCGGCGGTTGCTGCAGAGAGTGTGGCAGGCGTCATTTCGACATTGTCTCTGGATGAGCACGAAAAGACAAAATCCCCGACCTCGAAAACAGCCATTCCCGACGTCATGGACATTACACAAGAGGCACCCGCCAACAAACCAGCTGAACATCCGTCAGCTCTTGTTTCAAGCCCAAAAGCCGACGCACCTCGCGTGAAACCATTGGAACGACCTCAACCGCCTATCCCAACACGATCAACCCTCGCACAGTCTTCCTTCTCTTGGATGCTGGAACCAGACCAGTCCGCCCAGTCCGCCTCACCACCAAAGTTGCCCAAGTCGAGCTCGGGAGGTGCACACCGCAAGAAGCCGTCTGGGAACATCAGCAGAGAGCGCAACGCTTTTCTGTTTGGCGAGATCGTCGCTGACTCCGAGGACCAGACAATGCCAATCAAGTCTGACGACATATTCGGACTACAGCCCATGGACAAGCCCAAGTCTCCCTTTCCGTGATGATCACGAGTAGAGATTTAGATGAAGAAGTAATGATGATGAGAAGTGCTACATGAGCCAGCTATACAATAACTACGATATTATGCTCGCGCAGAGATGCGACGTTCCCGTTAGATCGAGAGAAACAAGGCCTTTACAATATTTTATTATCGCCAGACTTTCTTTCCCAGTGAAAAGATATGCCATTCTTTTGAATCATGAGACATGATGGTGTCGGCTAGATATTTGGTAGGCTAAGGCAGCCTATCCTGTCTAAGTCAATGGTCAAAACAAATGACCGTTGATCTCAACATCACACTTGAGATTTCTTTCACTTCCCGAGGAATTACACCAACGCAGAACCGTTGACCAGGCAGATTCTGGTCATCACTGGTCCCTAAATGATCGAATTCCGATGCTCATCGTACCTCACTGACTAGGAATGCTGCCCAAGGTAGGAAGATAGGTAACAGTGTGGTGGGAAAGAGCGTCCTGGACGATAGGATGCACCTGGACCTTCTTCAACCTCCCGATGATATATATTCCACCCCAACGTCGTTCCCGTCATCAGCACCCCTCCGGCCAACTGCCCGGGTGGTTTAAACTCTGACGCAGAGAAGCTAAAACAAAAACTCCAATGAAGCCGTGCTGCCCTGAGGGACGCGCTGTTCGAGTCCGGGCAGGGGCGTGAATGCTATAGTCAGTATACCCCAGCCCGCATTCCTCTCCTTTCCTCTTCTTCTTTTTATTGCCTTCAAGTCGTCATGATTCTTTTTCCATGATCACCTGGGAGCAAAAAGCGTTGAGGCTTTTGAAAATCTCGAGGTCAAGGGGATATATGAGCTACTGATAAGTCTCCAGGTACCCAGCTGTGACTGTGTTGAGCAGCCCCATGCACCTATCAGTAGATATCACGAAGAAAAGCCATCCAAAGTTTAAAACCTCCATATCCCAAACCCAGAAATTGTACGCTTACAGAATCCACTCATCGAGAATACATACTTTGAGATCAGCGTCAAATATATGCCCCATCACGATGCGGACAGTCAGATACTCGCCCGGTCTCCAGAACTTTGCATCAGCAAGGCCCCGCCTGACTTCCCGGCTTCCTCTCGCGTCAGTGAAACGTACACCAACGGCGCTGACGAGGGTGTCGTTCCTGCCTCCATTTTGACGGAGACAAAGGATCGTAGTGATAACCGAGGAAAGAGCCCGTTGGTTCAGTTACACCTACCCGGTTGATGTTGGAAGTTGGATGGGCTACTCCACCCCGGAACTAACCCAGTGTGGACAAATTCCTCACCCCTTTGCAGAACCAACAACGTCCCCCGATGCCAGGATGAGTCTAGGTGAATCCGTCATCTTCAGCCTCCACTTTGTCACGTCGTTCCAACATAGACTCTACTTTTACCTCGGACGTTTCGCCTCTCGCGGCATGTTATCCTCGCATACCTGGCGAGCCAAGACCACTTCTTCACAAACACTGCATGGACCGAAGTCCAACGCAAGTCACAAGGTCATCATCTAGCCGGCCCACCTTCGTCCCAGAACAATGCTCAATGTTCACCATTCCCGTCTCTCCGGTCTTGGCAATGGGGAGGGGCGTGGCTGTAGACCACGCCGGTTCAACGTCGAAAACACCACTGGGTCAAGCGTCAATGTTTGTTGAAGACACGCACTGTCAGCACCTTGTTTGGCAGTATATCGCTTCGACGAAGCTTCCACGTCGAATAAGAACGGCCCCCGCGCCGAGAGAGAACGCCAAGCTAAGCAAGCAAGCCGCTTGACACTTCGAGTACTGAATGCTTTGGAGATAGAGTCTCCCGTGCCTGCGGCCACCAGCCCAAATTAGCCTCTGCCCCCGGAAAACGCATGTTGGTTGCAGGATATTACACTGTGCAGTATCTGTAGATACGCAGCCCTGCCGTCAAGGGAAAACATGCAGCGGGTCGCCATCTTCACCAACCAATACTCTACCCGCCCCTGCAGGTCCACGAGGCCATACAGAGAGGCAAGAAAGGGGCCAGGATATCGGGGTGGGAAAGGAAGGGGGAACAAGAGGACCGTCGTGGTCAAAGAAAGGGACGCTGCAGATCCGAGTCCGAACCTCCGCCGCCTCGGGGCGTCTGACAAACAACACCCGCTGCACCCCTCAGGTACGACTGGCAAACTTCGAGAATATGCACCACACTGTGAAGAACCCGCCCTTCCACCCACCGGTGCGTTTCTGTATAGCAATACGCAATTCTCCCAGAAAACAATCAAGGGTGTGAAGTTGTCACATGAGGCCAGCAATCAACAGCAATCAACACTCCCTCTAGATGGCTAAGGACAGCAACGGCAAGCAAACATTACAGCAAACAGACAAGAGGCTTCCCTACACGCCCCCTGTCCAACAAGCCTCAATCGGATATTGGGTGACAAATTAAAACAGTGTCTCGATATCCTGTCACTTGTCTTTCGTAGAGAAAAATCACCAACATGACGGTCCCAACTATGTGGTTCACCTCTATTCCAGGTTGTGTGATAGGGCCGGAAACGAAGCTACTTACCCATCTACGCCACCATCTCCAACATTCTTCATCACCACCGCCGCCATCTTGCATCGATCCTTCTAACGTTTAGTCACCCACGCCACTCCCAGCTTGTCACTGTCTGCCAAACTCGTTCACGAAGGGCATACATGACGGCTCGCTGTCCCTGTATTGGGGAAATTAGCCGCCGCAGAAAGAATACTTCACTCCTTACGGCCGCTTGGTTTTGCTGCGCCCCTACCTTTGGCCGGAGATCATCGTGCGGTCGACCTATTCATAACTTTCAAATGTACATCAGCCTCTACGCATCACAGCCTCGCCAACTCACGTCACACTGTCCGCTGTACCAAATCGGTGACAGCTGCGCATAACATGCGCCATGCCCGTAAGCCCGGTCGGAATCAATACATCTGAGCTCGCAAACACGCGTGCGTGTATTTACCCAATCAACAATAGGCAGAGAAGACAAGGCAGATACAGACCGCCCAAAGTACCCCCAAGTTCCAATGAAACTCTTGCGTACGGACCATGCCATAGATTCTGGGCGAACAATTCTAGAATACTCTGCAGGCTAATACTCGCAGCATCCTCCTTTCGGTTCTGTAGCACAGCACCAATGCTGCAAGAAATTTGGGATGAGGGACTCCCAGCAAATCCAAATCCGATATCAATGGGCAATGTTTGTGAAATTCGACGATGAGTGACCTCGGACACTTCGCCTAATCCTCCCTGGCTCAAGGGCAGTGATCACCCGGTTTCAGACGGGAGAAGAACAATGGCAACATCGGTCCAACGTTCAGAGGAAACCCCCCACAAAGGTGTACAAACCTTTCTCTTTCCGTCCGCCTTGTCTAACCATGATTGTAATCTCCCTCGAAATCGCCATAAGGCGGATTCCGTCAAGAACAAGATCCGATGGCCCGTTTCCATTGCCTTGTGCAAACTAAACAATAGCTTTCCACAACCCTGGAAGGGAATGGTGGAAAGGGACGCACAAACTGCTTATCCCAGAGTCGCAGGATAACTTTGGACTACTGTTGAACTTGTGATTTTGATTCGTAGTGATTTCTAAAATCTACTAATACCTTTATTTTCGTATTCCAGGAAGAGCCCCCAACCAACCAACTAACCGACCAACAATACCTCTATGCGTGGCCCCCAGACGAGCAATCGGGAACCCCCCGTCGTCTGCCTAACCAACCGAATCCCACCATCCTTGACGTTTCACAATCCCATTGTAAAATGCATTGCGGACATACTTCGTATATCGTAGTCCCCACGTACCATGTGTGAAGAATTAAAAGCAGATGAGAAGAAGAAAAAAAGTAGGTAGTTCCAAAATCTCCGCCGACTACCTTACCCCCCTTGCCTTCCCCATGCCTTCCCACACAACACGCCACAACCAACTGGTATCTTCTTTTTTCGGTCTCCCAAATTGTCAGTTGCAGAAACAAAACACAACAAATGGATAATGCTTTCTCTTTCAACTCCTTGTCATCAACATTTCCCTTTGATCCATTGTTCCCATGTTCCATGTTCCATGCTATCTTGATCCATGCACACCATGCACACCACACACAAGACGTCCTCATCCCAATTCATAAAGACTGCCTCAAAAAACTCCTTTTCTTGCTCTCGGCGTACCCTGCGCTTGTTGCCGTACTGCCCCCCAAAAAGAACCTGCCCAACACTGCCTCTTGGTTTCGTGACCATGATTGCAGGGAAGATGGGGGAAACCAAGAAGTGAAAGAATGGAAAAATGAATGAACTCCCATGTTGCTTTGTTCAAACGCCCTGACCGTCCCCTATCATCATATGCAAATCCCGTATTGGAGAACGGATTTGCTCTGTTCGTCATCGTACACTGTGAAAAACCAGTTTTTTTTTGTGTGTGTGTCTCTTGCGCTTTTGGATAGATGAATGATTACACGCTTCCTGTAGCGTGATGTTTTGTGTATTCCCTTTTTTTTTCTTTTTGGCGAAATTGTGAGGGGAGCCGCCCCTCGCGGCTCTCTCCTCAAAGTGTGTAGTATATAGGTTCCCATAGGAATGAGAAGATGAAGAGTGAAAAAAAGTGGATATCATGAGTAGAAGTAAAGTGCAAACTCGAGAGAAGGAATGGTGAGGGCTAAGGTGTAGAAGAAGAGAGTCAGAGACGGCTGTTTTGGATTGCTCGTCTCCTCTTCTTCCGTGCCTCCGCAGCGTCGAGCTGAGCTTGTCTTGCGCGACCTGGTGTACAAGTTAGACCAATTGTTCTCATCTGTAATAGTCTGTCGTAAAATCCAAAACTCACCAAGCTTGTCGTACTGTCGCTTGTGCTCCTCCGAAACCCACGCATAGGTGATGGCGCGCTCGGGGTGCATGCCCAACAGGCCGATCGAGTTGTTCATCTTCTTCCCTTGCTCGCGGACGTCGCACTGGAACGTCTTTGGGTTGTCGTCCTCGTCAAAGACGAGCAGATTGTTGGGGTCCGTGGCGGGGATCTGC